CCCTTTGAAGTGCTTCCTCAGAAAACTAAGGCAGAATGCCCTTGAAGTGTTCATTTCTAGAGTGAGTCTACTACTGGTGCCCGCTGCTGCCACCGTGTGGAGCAGCCTCTGAAACAGCAGAAGAACAAAACCACTCCTCAAGAACAATAAACTAAGGACTCATATCCATCACAAGAATAAGAGGATTAAGATGATTTCATAATAAAACAGTATCCAGATAATTAAAGACATATATAAATTCAAAATAGTAGCTGGTTTACAACCTTGGAAATGAGCTATGCAAAACAAAAAAATAGCAGCCACTTCGAGAAAATGAAACAGATTTATATAAACACACATATTTAAAGTTTGTTGTGTACATACTAGGTCAAAACCCTGGCTACATTACTACTTGCTGCATGACTTTAGGATAGTTCTTTTGTTTTTTTAATATTTATTTTTTAGTTTTCGGCGGACACAACATCTTTGTTTGTATGTGGTGCTGAGGATAGAACCCGGGCTGCACGCATGCCAGGTGAGCGGCTACCGCTTGAGCCACATCCCCAGCCCTTTAGGATAGTTCTTTAGTCTCTATATACATCTCTTGATCTATAACATGGAATAACTTCTATTTCACAAGGCAGATCTGAGAACTAATTGAAATACTGTACATAAATGTATTATTGTGCCTGGAATAGAAGGCATTTAAGTATYTCTTTTCTTAATGACATAAGATCTTAAAAATTCATGAGGTGTTTTGAGCTACTGAACCTTATATTCTACCTTTACACCTTGGAAGTTAATCTATCTAGTTACTTAGTTACTCAATCTAATTCTTAGCAGCATTTGATCCTACTGATAAAAAGAACATCAGTGTGATGATTGTAATATTTCATATACGGTTACATTTTATAATTGYGATTTCATTTTTAGGATTAAAAAGCAGGGCATAGAGTTGAGGTTAAAAGTATGGATTTATGAGCTAGAACTGTGGCTTACTGGCAGAGTGCTTCCTCACATGTGTGAGGCACTGGGTTCGATTCTCAGTACCACATAAAAATAAAATTATTGTGTCCATCTACAACTAAAAATATATTTTTTAAAAAAAGTATGGATTTAAAGTCAAAAGTAAGTACAGTTGTACAAGTGCTGGCTTTTAAGTCCAACCTTTTCAGTGCTTCACTAAAACAGCAAGAAAAAAGGAGTCAAATGATTTGACTATGCATAACAAGACCAGGACAAGAGTAAGGCAAGTGAAGCACTATTGGCATGAAATTTAAGAATACAGCCAGTACTTAAGTGAATCTCTCCTTTTTTGGGGGGGTGGGGGGGGTAATCAGGGATTGAACTCAGGGGCACTCGACCACTGAACCACATCCTCAGCC